CCGCTTGAAATGTTGTCGGGGCATTGGTGAGCCCAAACAACATAACCAAATATTTGCAATGACCGTCGCGGGTGCGGAAAGCCTTTTTTCAATGCTGTCCGGCCGCATCCTAATTTGATTTTAACCAGATTTTAAATCTAGTTTGGATAAGTATTGAACACCTTTCAACTCATCAATGAGTTCATCGACCACCGGAATTGGAAACTTATCGAGTATCGTAGCTTTGTATTAAGAGCTCTATAATTGACACACATTCGCCACGATTGATCTTTCTTTCGTACCAAGATTACTGAACTTGAAAACGCACTCTTACTTGGGCGGATCATCCAAAGATTAAGAAGTTCTTGTACTTGTTTCTCAATTTCAGCTTTCTGAATATGCAGATAACGATAGGGATGAACACAAATCAGTTTGTGTGGAGTGACTAATGAGATTCCATGATCATGTGTACGGACTGGTGGTAGTCCGATAGGATCGAGAAAAATGGCAGCGAATCGACCGAACAAGATCTGTAAATCATTTTGCTACGAAAATGATAACACTATTTTAGGATGTGGAAGACTCGACAAGGAATTCGCTGGTAGAAGAGGGTGTGAAGTATCTTCCAAAGATAACCACGTTTGAAGGGAAGCCTGAGAAACTAGTGATTGAATAAACCATGAATGCACACTGAAGTGCCCTGCAACAGAAACCCCATGGATGGTTGTTCCCGATTATGAATCACATCGCCCAAAGTCTTGAGCCTTTCCATACGCAACACCATATCCGAATACCCTATATCAAAGACCAAGGCCTCAATTTCGAATTCACAATTTCCCACTAAGACTTTCAGATTCGAGCAGCATCGTTTAATGAAAATTTTATGGCCATCACCCAATTGAATGTTGATGCCTAAAAAAATTGAGGACAAACCCAACACAGTCACCAATTTTCACGATATCAAAATTATGGGTGGCTCAACTATCCACTTGAATTCCTGCGATTACCCCTTCAAACTTCAATGTCTTACCACCAGACAACAAATCAGCCGACACCCCCAAAAGTTCCAACTTTGTACACAATCCGGTCGGGGAATATGCTTCTTTAACGACTTGTTCTTCGAGACCATCCAACATGTGCATCTCTCCTTCCTCATTCATAGACTCATCATCACCCAAAAGGAGGATCCATAATTTCCCTTCTGGACACTTAATGAGCTGGATCAATTGTTGTCCACAACGAAAGCATAACCCCTTTTTTCGCCTCTCTTCCCATTCACTACGTGTAAGCGATCAGACCCTGTGATTACAATTGAACAATTGGGCAAAGCGTGTGATGAAGCTCCTGGGGTACGAGTCGAAGGGAACGATCAACCAGAATCCATCCGTTGGGTAGGGCTTTTCTCACTAGTATTAAAATTAGCCCTTTTTGTTCATGTCCGCCCAATGGAACAGATCTCGCATCAGGCGGAAAAGAGAACCAGGCCCGCTCCCTCCCTGATAACGAAATTCAGACTAAGAAATATTCCCTCACAAAGGTCAGAGCATCTCCTTGATGCCTTTAGCCAAATACATAGCATCGAGACGAGACTGAGGACGAAGTAAACGTACCGATCACTTCACCTCCTCCTGTAACCCAGGAATAAAATAACCCAAAGCTTGAGATTCAGATAATCGGAGAACCAACGATAACAGGTATTCAAAAGCATCAATATAATCGTGGATAGAAGCTACATGTTTAATCGTGGCTAACTGTTCATAAGGATTCTAAATCTCGGGACCACTGAAGCATTGCAGTAATTCGTTTGTCAATTGCTCCCAAGTAAGTGAATCACAAATTTGCTTAACAATCGTGAACCAGTGTTGAGCGACGCCCACTATATTCAACTGTGCCAATCGGATCCAAAGATGAGAGGGCGTACCATGAATATCGAAATACAACTCAGCCTTCTGAATCCATCCTTGAGGATCAAAGCCATAGAACTTTGGAAGTTTAATCTTCTTTGCAGCCCAAGGAAATAACTGGAGAGAGCCATGCGATCCTGAAATCCAAGAATTATCTCCCCGAGGCAGCAGTGGAATTGGAGAACTGCCACCCGGACTCCTCGGAATAGCATCTCCCTGAAGTGTCGATGGAATATGAGACCCGCCAAAAGCCACCAACAGTCTTCCACTTTCATGATTAGGCTGTTTGCCTTGTTTTACCCAATACATCACAATTTTCCGAAAATTCCTCCTCTTCCGCACGATCAGATTCCCAAGCTTGAATCACAGTTTTGATCTCCAGATCATCCGATTGAAGCTTCTGATGTTGTTCTTCATGTTGACCTAAACGAGTTTGTTGGGATGAAAGTGGTAGGTCAAGGCAGGTAGGTCGGACCAATGGTCGAAACTAGAAACAGGATTAAACAATCTGAGAAAGAAAGATGGAAAATGATGTGATTGAAACGGAAAACAAATACAATAACAGAAAGGAAATTAAGGAAGCCTCCCTCTCTCTAAGCGCTAAGCTTAAAGCCAATCACAATCTATGTAAATCTCACAATACCCCGTACGTAATGCCTCCCCTCCTTTTTAGAGGTACAACAGCTCTCCTCTAGCTGACTTTAGCCACTTTCCTTTTCTACCCTTGTGGGCCTTCTAGAATACACCTTTAAAATACTAGGATTAGACTTGTTTTGGTCCATCACAATCGGTTCAGTATCAGTTCGGTTATCAAGGAGTGATAACATTTATTGAATGTTCCGTTGACATTAACATGGAAAGCATGTTATGCCAGTAGTATACGTTGATGACATGGTTCAGACCGGATATGATCATGAGATCATCAATGCTTCTCTCAATTGAAGAGTGATATTGGCAACTAGTTTCAAGTCACCAATCTTGGGCGTCTTTAATACTTTTGGGGCATGAAAGTATTATGATCATAACAAAGGATTTAAATATGTCAAAGGAAGTTTGTGTTATATCTATTGTCTGGGTGTGAGGTATTGGGCTATGAACAAGTAGATTCACCTATGATAAATCGCAAGTTATTACCGGATAATGGGTCATTGATTTTTAAGGCGTGAGATGCACCGAGGTGCAAAGGTCCTAGTTTGAGGCAAGGGACAAGAATTTCAAAGAGAAAAAATACATATATAATTGTGTATGTATACATTAATAAAACTACAAGTCCACTAAATACTAATGAGATTGAAGATATATAGCACAAAGAAACTATAAAAATATATGCACTCAAACGTTCAGATAAATGACTATGTTGCAGTACTAAATTTTACATGTTAGCACTTGGCAGTAGGCCATATAGTCCAAGAAAATAAATCTAATTCTTTAGTTCTCATTTTAAATTTAATCCTTCACATGGCAAGAATCAAAAACTACAACTGTATTCAATCTTGTCTAATGTGAAATAAGAGAGTAAAAGTAAGTCTGTGAAAATATACAACAGCAGCTTAGAAAGTAAAAGAAAAGGTATACATCAGGGCAAGGTCTTAGAAGGTGGAATCGGGCCTCGAGGCGTTTTCCCTCAATGAGGCAACGCGTAAGCCTCGAGGCAGTCCAAGGCGTAAGAACGAGGTGGAAATATATATACATCAAAATATGTATATATACTACACACACACACATATATATATATATATATTTTATAATACTAGATTACTAAGAGGCTTAGAGGTGTTGGTTCAGCATGAGAGAGGCTGAGAGAGAGTAAAAAAAAGGTTGCTTGGAGGAAGGGGTAGAGTCCAACCACACTTTTTGATTGAAGGGAGAAAGTAATAGCTTTTTGGGTTTTAAAATACTAAAAGCACACATTCAGGCCATTGTGCTTTGACTTTGTTTTTTTAAATAAAAGAAGACTCTTATACTATAAAGAGAATTACTACTATTGCCACAAAGCTTATAAAAAGTACCGCCTCAGGTGCGATTAAGGTAAGGCGGGCCTCGAGGCATAAGCCTCAAACGATTTTTAAAACCATGCATCAGGGAACATTAAAAGCAGTAGCAGAAGCCAGAAAGCAAACATACACACACACACATATTCAATCATGGATATTCATGTGGCGTAGAAACTTGTGAATTTTCTAACAAAGTCCTGTAGGACCCAGATGGACTTTGTTTGAGCAAGTTGGCCATCATCTAACCAACAATGCATAATGGATATCTGATAGGTGACGACCATGGTAAACGTATGTAAGGAGAAACAAACATGCATATCATCAATCTCAAGATATTGAAGAAGTCAAAGTGGGAAGAGAAAGTGATGGAAGAGTGGTAAAGTTGGTGATTAGTGGAGAACAAAGTATCGCACAAGTGTGGTTAGTGGAGCAGTTTTTAGGAGTCGGTTATTTATCTGTGGACTGTATTAGTCTTCACTATTTATATTGTGTATCTTGTCACTCCAGCAGGTGTCTTGTTAATTTCAGAAATATCACTTTGTTGGGAGAATTATCCACTCCATACGGACAGATTCAGAAGAGATACTTCAGACGCTAGTGTCTCTACTCATCCTAACCCTCCATTTCTTGTGTCTAAGAATTCAAACTGACCCTGGACCTTATCGATATCTTCCTTTAATTTTTATTATCTCCGGTAAACTGTTTAAGTTGCCCTTGACCTCATAAGTTTTTCAGCTCTAAAAGCTCTAAAACTGTTTAAAAGCTCTTCTAAATTCTAATCCTACACATGAAAAGCATTCAATATTTTATTCGACCAGATACAAGCCATATAGATGCAATAATCCCATAGGTAAATGGGATCTACACTTGGAACAAAATATTCCTGGCCCAAAAACCTTCTCATACAAGTTTTTGAACAACGCTACAAGATTTTACTTTTCTTAAACAACTATCAAATGAACATATATGAATGCACAGCAAAGAGTGCAAAGTAAATGTAACAGAATGACAATATACCTAGACCATAAATTATCAAGTGGCAGCATGTCGAAATGTGATTCGAGTATATTCCTAGAATACTAGAAACAAAAGCTAAAAACTGGAAATAGATATTTCAACTCACGTTCCTTCTTCAATGTTCAGCTTTTTGTATAGCCTAACAACAAACATGCCAACAAGGCGCCCATACGTCGATCCAATCATTATGCCAGGAACAAATTGTCCAGCTGGAACAGCAGTACCAAATGTCACCACGGCTAAGCTATAGAACATAGCCTGAGGACAAGATACATGCATCAAAAGATAACCAGCTCAGTGTTCCAAAAAGAAACCTAATTTAAACTATTTAAGGAAAAAGAATGCATAAACCCTACAGGCAGTTCATCCATTTTCTAACTGGATTTACAAAAAGGAAAAACAATGATGCTGATCTTTAATTTAGTTAGTGTATCACTAATTGGGATTTGTTTGGTTGGTTAATCAAGAGATTTTTTCTCCTTTATTTAGAATCCACTATTTTGGATTCAAACTTCCTTCAAATGTCAAATGTCAAAATAAATAGAAACTTCATAGCATTTCAAAGTGTTATCTTTCACAATTCTAAAAACTGTGTGCCACATTTTATTATTCTTATTTCAGAATGCACAAGATTAGCCAACAATATCAAAGCTTAGAAGGTTCCTTTATATCAATTGATATCTCATTTTCAATTGCCATTCTTTACAAAGAACATTACATTCTTTTCACGATATAGAAGACAGGTGACAAGTGGAGGTAAGCTATACCAAAAAAGTCAGCAGGCTCTGGGCGCTGTACTCATGAATGGTCTTCGCACTGAACAGATTTCTTATGGCGTCATCCTGCATCCAGATAAAGATGGCAGTGATATAAAAACAAGTGATGAGGTTGAACATACAAACTGAAGAAAAAAAAAATTATAGCATCTGCCTGGAATCTACTGGACCTGAGTATTAAAGAAGATGGTTGCAAGGTCGTTGTATTCATTGTCCTTGGTACAATAAAACTGCAAATATAAACGGTATAGCCATTGGGGAATAACAAAGCCAATTATAAACCCATGTCATTTGTTGTAATACTAGAGAAACAATGCTTAACAATTCAACTTACATTTACGTAATTCCCGTACATTCCTGGTGGACGAGGACATTCACTAGTAACATCCGAGTCGGGGCATGCACTACATTTTCTAAAAAGAGGCAATCCAAATGAGATTACTGAGGTTATCACGGAGATAAGACATGCTTCAATTATCTGTTAAGAAGCCACAGAATCAAGATTACGATCATATATTCCGAAGACAGACATGACCAAATAGAACCATAGGGTAAAAGTTACGCTTGACAAAACTTACTTTGACTCGGTTTCCTTTCTTGTGTAGATAATTTCGACGCCAATATGTTATATAAAGTGTCAGCTGGTTAAATAACGCTCCTGGAAAAACATGATTCCCAATTTAGATGTATATATACATACCCCTCTTTTCTTGCAAGAGAAATCAATAAGTACACTTATCACATACCAAGAAGGCCACCTATAACACCAATAATAGCCATCGGCAATAACTCCTCAAATGAGTAATCCTCTTGACCACTAAATTGGATTTAATGAGAAACCAACAATCGCCCATAGGTAGAATCAAATTAAAGACAAGAGAATATCAGGTTCTCACTCTGAGACATCCCATATTATGAAACCTCCAGAACCGAAATGCCCACACTTCCCACTCTTACACCAGCCCATCGCAGTACGCACTACAACAGCCACAACTGCAGAAGTGAAGAAAACACGCCACATAAGCTGACTCCTCCACCTTCAATAAAAGATCAAAGCCAGTTATTACAAAGTAAACGGTCACATTCCCCATATTTACAAGCTAGTTTTACAGAATTATGTAGCCACATTTGTTAAAACCAATAAGACCCACAAGCATACGCAATGCAAAAAAAAACCTAAACGATCGATTGACTGGATAGAAACATACAAAAATTATGCCAAGAAACATGTGTTTGCTTAGGAGATAGACCTATCATTGTCCGATCAGTGCTTTAAGCAAGTCCCACATATATGTTTAATATTTATGCATATGAGTCTGACAATTAGAACCAAAAGAGAGGACAAATCTACCAAGATGTAACTTCCTCTAGAGCAAATAATACACCGCCAACTGGAGCTCTGAAAGCAGCAGCCACACCAGCTGCACATCCACATGTTACCTTTCAAAGACATTAAGCTCACAAGTCACAAACACGACAAACAGGGATATAGTCATCTCACAATCACAAATACTATAAAAAGGTATTAAAAAAATTGAACCATGGCAACTATATAGCAAGGTAAAACAACTCTACAATTTTCATGTGACATGTGAGGTGCTATTAAGCATGCAAGTATTGTTACTGAACTGTTCTTGGTATTTCTTAGTGATAGATGGGAGGAAAGGTAACCTCTTGTCAAGAAAAAGTCATGTCAGACAGTAACGCAAACTATTGATATAGATATGCCACCTATACACACATACGCAATCCATTTATTCTAAAAATGATTTCGGCATGAACAGATATTACACCACAAGTCACCCAGACTAAGGGGCTGTTTGTTTTTTCTTCTTATTAAGACCTGTCTGGACTAATATCTCTATCTGAACTATAGATCAATTCCTGCACTGAGCTTCCAATGCAACATCAACCTTAAAAGAAACATGGCTAGGATACTACACATATATTCTACCTTACTTCCAAGAGAATGAAGTGACCAAGCAAGTCAAAGCATTCAATTGGAAGGACATCCAATTACCTAACCTGAACATCATCAAAATTATTCTAAGGATAATATTTTCCCTCCATTCCTTGATTAAACCAGCCTTTCCTCTGTGGTGGAAGTCTTATATAGGGTGTTCATATAGGGATACCCTCCAAGGACCAATGGAAAATAAATTTACATAATTTAGTTTTTATGCACTTTCCAGTTTTTGGAGTCCATACAGGAGGAAACCATATCTAGAATCAAACATAAAAAATAGAAGGTCTTCATTTTCTTTTTCGTTTGCTCTTGTGTGAAAAATCTTCAACTCTAAATTCTCAATATTCAAAAACTAATATATAGAACATAAATCAATAATTCAATATCAACATCACTCACAAGATCACGCCGATCACGATCGCTCTTAAAGACCTGTAGCCACCTAGTACTCAGATGATATTTTGTTGATCCACCCTGAATGTCACATTAATTAACAAAAGGACGTTAGCAGGTTAAGAGTGAAAGAACCATGGCAATACAAATTTATATTAATTGCAAAGTGCAAAGCAAGAGCAAATTAACTAGTTTAAACTTCCAGGCTGGAAGATCCAGAGAAATTTAGTATTCAGAAAACGGGAGTAAAAAAAATCATGTTGCTAACTTTCAATTACCATGAGAAACATGTGGGGTGACAATGCAAAGCATGGTAGTTTATAAACAGGTTTCACTTTCTTAAAGTAACTTCTGACACTTTTCACCATCCATTATAAAAGATTTAAACAATAGGGCTACATTAAAAGTAAATGGGCTGATAAACAAACACATGGATGAATATATGTTTGATCCTCCAACTAACATTCAACAACAGCAAATTTAAGCAAATAGAGTTGCCTTAGAATTAATAGTGACATCCGAACTAAGAACCACTATATAATGTCACAATTATACAATAAAACATTTACACCACTAAAATTTGAAGTAACAACAGACATATGTTTAGAATGACTTAGAGAAAATAGAAGAAAGATGAGGTTATCTGGAATCAATATAAATGTTTCAGTGTATTTTCTCTGCAGCATGTTTCCTAAACATAAATCTTCAGCAATTAGTTTACAGAGAAGATATTTTGAATCTATTGAACTTAATTTCTGATGTGAGTAGAGTTTAAGAGAGAAATGGAGGTAGAACAGAAAATGACACAAGAATACTCAGGTATTGGTAAAGTGATGGAGAATTAACAAAGAGATAATGAAAGTTCTCATTATAAAATAAAACAAATTCATTTATCTTCCCCTTAGCAACATGGTGTCACCAAATGTAAATATTGGCATCTACTTCATGTTGTCTACACATTAGTCATTCATCCTAATGTACCTCACCTATTTTAGGGGTTGAGGTATTAACTAATTTTGAATCAATTGGATGTCGTCCTATATTCTAAATTGAAAAATACCTCTATACATTTTTTATATTTATGTATCTTCCATTTTCATCTTGTTCCAATAACCTTCGGTTGTGTTTGCTTCTCTCAAGACGTGGGTCCTCAAAGAACTAAGTTCAATCCCAAGTCTGTAGAAGGCATCTTTATTGATTATTTCATGTCTAGAAAGGCTAAAGGTGTATATTATGTGCTATGATGTCAATTTTCATGTCACACTCTTATTATCCCTCTACATCTCCTAGCCTATCTCCTTTTAGTGTATGATTTTGATTATTCTAATAATCTAGTTCCACTTATTCTAGTGTAATCATCAATATCTCAAGAGGCATATCTCAATCACATGAGTTTGCACTCGACCATGACGCAGTAATCTAGGTCATGATTATGGTACCCTCTTTACACCAATTAGCCCCATGCATATTATCACACCTTATACGAAGCCAGAGGACTATCAGCTCTATAACCAAAACCATAACCATCACTTACTCCAATACTACCATACCTACTACACAATATGACACTCGTCCGGAAGCGGTATGTGAGTTGTAAGTGGGAATTTATGGTCAAATTGTACCACAATGGAACTTTAAAACACCTAAAGGTGCAACTTGTTGCAAAGGGTTGTTCTCTAGCATATGGTATTGGCTATGAGAACACATCCAATGTCGCTAAGACGCCTGTTGCTCAAATGCCTTCTATCCACGTACGTGTAAAACTAGTAGTGACAACCATCACTCAGTGTATCTACGATGCAAAGGATCATTTTGGTTCTTTATGTTCAAATAGGGTATAACTAGAATGAAGTTGCTTATTAGAAGTCAGTTCCAACTTACTAATTCAGATTGCCTTCTGTGTTTCTCTTGAATCGAGGTTTTGAGGTCTCATAAAAGGTATTCTCTTATATCAATCAAGGTATTTTTAGGATTTACTATTAGAGTATGTGTGTTTAGGTTGAAATTTGTTGGCTTACCCATGGTTGAAAGAGGAAAGATGCTAAAGCGAGGACGAAAAAAGTGTATTTGTCTAATTGGGAAGCTTAATTACCTAGGTGTTACATGACTAAAGATTTCATATTGTGCAAGCGTAATTAATCAATTTATGTTTGCTCCCTACCCCTAATGTGTTGTGATAACCGGGTCCTGGTTATCACTCAAGGTATTTATTATGTGAATATAGGATTAATTGATTATGTGGATAAATGCTTACATGAGTTTAATATGTATGTGTATTTTCATTAATGGGAATATATTCATAATTTTAATATGTGGGTGCATATGTTTATATATTATGCATGGAATGTCATTATGTGAATGCATGAGAATGTATGTGACTGTGTGTGTGTGCGTATAAATTTATTAGCATGCATGAGGTTATGTATGTGGGAGGTATGCATGCACATGGAGGATTTGAGGGTAACCACCTTTCCATATTTGGAAAGGTATAAATAAGTGGTTTAGGTAAAGGCAAAAGTTTCTTGCCTCTTTTATAAAATTGTTTTGAGAGAAAAAGAGTTCTGGGAATTGCTTGCATTATTTTGGAACTGAAGTTGGATTCATCTTGGCGTTTCTTTCAAAATTCTGGGTTTTTGCATAAGGTGAGTATTCTTTAAAACACCCTTTGCAATTCGATTTGCTACTGGTTTTGAATTTGATATGTGGATGTTTTAAAATATTACATACTGTTCTTGGCTTATTCAACAGCCGGTTTTAGAAATGTCTCCGCCATAGTGTTGACCGGATTAAAGATATCCGGTCACTGGGTCGTCCGGATTTGAGGGTATCCGAACATAGTGTTGTCTGGATTAGATTTTATGTATTTTAGGCTGAAGATTGCTCGGACACAGTGTTGACCGGATTAGAGTGTCCGGTCAATGTGTTGTCCAGATGAGTGTGAGTCCGGCCGTAGTGTTGTCCGAAGAAAGGTATATCCGGCCGAAGTGTTGACCGTATTAGAGGATTATGATTCTATTGATTTAATTCTCTTATTTCTTGTTATCCGGTTAAGGGATGCATCTGGATAGAGTGTTTGTTGTTCAGTATTATCCGGGTTTGGAATCCAGCCAAGCTTGTCTGGACATGTGTTGGCCGGATAACTTGTCCGGAAACACCTTATCCGTACAAGTCATATTGTTGAGTTTTAATATGGGATTTTCACAATTTAACAATTATTTGGGTATTAAATTTGTCATTGTGAAAAGGGGTATTTTATATCTTTTAAAGTGAATATAATGTTTCTACCAAGCGTGGTGACGTAAGTCTATTTTGGTATGAAACTGTATTTTGGAAAATGTTCCTACCGAGCGTGGTGACATAAGTCAGTTTTGGTATGGAACTATATTTTGAGAAATGTTTCTTCCAGAATCTGTAAGCAAGTCGGAATGGTTGTGCATCAGTTGGAGCTACCACAGGAGCTTAGTTCGATTCATAACACTTTCCACGTGTCTAATCTGTGGAAGTGTTTGGCAGATCCGAATTTGACAGTGCCACTACCAGAAGTCAGGCTAGACAGTAAGCTAAATTTTGTGGAATCACCAAAAGCAATAACTGATCGGAAAACCAAGGTTCTACGGAATAAAGAGATCAGTCTGGTAAAGGTTCAGTGGCATTACCACAAGGGTTTTGAAGCAACCTGGGAATTTGAATATGAAATGAGAACCGAGCATCCGTGGCTTGTTGATTAAAGGAATTCCGGGACGGAATTCTTTTGAGGGGTGGATAATGTGATAACCGGATCCTGGTTATCACTCGAGGTATTTATTATCTGAATATGTGATTAATTGATTATGTGGATACATGCTTACATGAGTTTAATATGTGAGTATGTGTATTTTCATGCATGGGAATATATGCATAATTTTAATATGTAGGTGCATATGTTTATATATTATGCATGGAATGTGATTATGTGAACGCATGAGAATGTATGTGATTGTGTGTGTGTGTGTGCGTATAAATTTATTAGCATGCATGAAGTTATGTATGTGGGAGGTATGCATGTACATGGAGGATTTGAGGGTAACCGCCTTTCCATATTTGAATTTTAATATGGGATTTTCACAATTTTACAATTATTTGGGTATTAAATTTGTCATTGTGAAAAGGGGTATCTTATATCTTAATCTTCATCCGAGAGCTAATCTTCATATGACGCAAAGAAGGTAAGATACAAGACAGGTTTGAATTGCTTTTCTTCTTGTTCTTATTTTTAAACCATATTGCTCTTAATTAAATTGACTCAAGGTTTTCACACAATTAGATTTCCAAAATACTCAAAAAACTATCTTCGATTTTTCCTAGCTCATCAAATATTTTGTATTTTCATAAATTAATCAAATTTAGCTAACTTATATAATTTCATCTCAAAATGTAATTACATTATTTTCTCTACATTTTTAAATATATAATAGCCATCAATTCTCCCTTCTTCAGAATAGAAACAAAATTGATTTCCTAACTTAGTATAATTATCTTAAGTTTTTTATATTAAATATACAGTCTTTTAGGATCTCGGTATATATAATTACCAAATCGGCATATATTTATACAGAGATTTATAGTACTGCACCACCGATTTATTTGATGTACCATCTAAATGTTGCTACCCCATGAACCAGTTTCAAATAACTACCCTAAAAACTGAATTGTTTAACGTACCGCATAACGAATGTGTAACTACCCCCATGAACCATTTACATATAATTACATATAAAACAAACCAACATGTACCACAAATTTGGTAACATCAGTTGGATAACGTGTTCTTTATGGATGGATCAGTGAATTAAGGTTGAGAGGTCAGAAGTTAGCCAATTGGGTGTGTGTATAACAGACACCAACAGAAAGCAAGAGATGACTGACATTCAGTCTGAGACCTGCTATTCTTTAGTTGGATTAGATCAATTCAAGAATGTGTCTTCAACCATCTACAAGTTGCACCTTCGAACAAAATTACCCTCGTTTATAAATTCAAGCACAATCCAATCTCCTAATACTTGGAGAGGACATCTTTAAGATGTAGGTAATCAAACTAAATTCCTATTAGAAACTTGTAGAGGTAGATCGGTTAACGGGGCAAACATGCAAAACAAATAGAAGTTCAAGGAGACAATAATGACACAACCATGACAATTTGAAATGTGAATTGATGCAATAAACTTTCATCCTCCATCCTATCACAATAGCTAGTCAAATACAAAGTAAGGGTGGTTGCCAACGTTGTTTGAAAGCAGTCTACCATAGATGACCAGGGCATCCATTTTAGAGTCTCTAACTATTGATCTATGGTTGAAATTGACATGGTCACAAAATGGCCCAACAGTAATCCATAAAAAAAAAATATATATATATATATATATATGCATTTTACATGCATGCATACATTCATACAAGTATATATATATATATAGATATATTCATACATGTAAGGGAGAGAAAGATAGAAGAGAGATCCACAACGTACATATATATATATACGTGGAAGAAAATAAAAATTATCAAATCCCATATAGATGATGTTAGCGGAACCCTTATCCCACAAAAGCCCCTGTTAGTAGTGGGCGCTAAATGTGTGAGCATATAGCTTCTATAAGCATTATACATTATCTGAGTTCACAAATTACGTATCACCTATGTTGTTAATTGCGCTGCTATAGCGGTGCTATCACGGTTCACGGTCATGGGACAATAGCGGTATTGAACAACGGTCCCACGATTAGTGGCGTTATTGACCGCTAAAGGATAGCCCTTTGAATGCAAAAAAGCGGTCGCATAACCGCCATCTGTAGATAGGTTGTTTTGGTGTTTAAAAAGTAATTTTATGGGCTTTTAGTTTGGACCTACAATAGATTTTATTTTTATCCCAGCAGTACAAGGCTTCATTTTTCTTATTTTTTTGGACTTGGACACCATTATTCTTGTTTTTTGAATTTGGACACCATCAGTTTGACCTCTGGCTTTGAATAAAAGTATTCACATTGTTCAATTATTTTATTTGGACTTGGACATCATTATTCCTAGATGTTTTTATTGAATAGAGATAATTTGTTGAGTTATATATGCATATATATATAATTCTAATTATTATATTAACTGCTATACCATTGCGATAACCGCTAATTTAAATCGCGGTCCTAACCATGGTTTCATATTTTGACAGCCATAACAGCAAAGCGTATCACATATGTGAGTGTGTGAATATCACATTCCTCTCCCATTACATCATTCAAAATACATGTAATTTCAAATATTTTAAACCATAACACTATTTTCTTCTAACTTAATTATTTTATTCGATTGTACTATTCTACATAAATCACTCACCTTTTAAAGTGATTCTTTACGGTCAAGATCACTTCAAACTATTTTCATTCACCTAAGGGGTGTTAGGTTTAGGTAGAGGAATGAAAATGAAAATGACATGGAATGGGAATGAAAATGAATTTATGGGAATGAAAATGAATTTTCAATCCCTCCAGATTAACCAGGAATGAAAATTTGGGTTCGTGGAGGAATGAACTCATTATATTATATATAACCAATTAGTTTCTTTCATATTCATTCCCATTAATGACTATTTAATACATCTAACCAAACACCCCCTTATATTGCCATGTATTACTTTGTAAATACTTTGTTATTAAGTAAACAAACTTCCTTATGCTAGCTATATGCCAATGAAATTGGAAAGTGACCAATGTGTGCCAATCTGCTTTGTAGCTGAATTTAATCGGACTGCCATTCAAAGCAAACCTATTTTACTGGATTAAAGGAGAAGTTCTCGAGGGCTAAACAATACGGGTACAAAAGTTCTATATTATTAAGCGTAGAACTTGCATAATCATTAAAGTATATCCACATAATATTCAGTTGCAGTTAGCAATGTTTTAAAGTTAACATGTTAAGCTTCACCATCCTAAAACAGTTACCTGCCCATGAAAATAACTACCATTTCAATAAAGATCACCAAATCAACGTACCAATCAAAGAACACAATAGCTTATTCGTAGTTAGGATAATTAGAATAAATGAAGAAAGATGTGCCTACCTGTCCAAGTAAGGAAGCAATACAAGCACCAGTATGAACTAGAGGCCCTTCTTTACCAAGTGCCAGTCCACCACCCACAGATCCGATGCTTCCAGATATCTATAATATTGCATACATAATTCCTTCTAAGAACATTCAAAATGAACAGTCATACTAATCTTCTCAAAATCAGAAAGTACTATCACCTTTCCTATCAACGTTCTAAAGAGAAGGATACCACGAGTATCAATCCCTGCACAATTTCACAAGAATCAGTCCATAAGCCACCAGCATCAAACATTTAACATAATGAACATTAAATGCAAATGCTTACCATTCAAATAACCCTTGATTTCAGGTATACCAGATCCTGCTGCTGCTGGGGCAAATTGTGTAATGATAAAAACGGATGAAAAGACTAAAGCCAAGTTGATCACGGTATATACAATAAATCCAGCCACATATGAACTCTGTATTATCCTAAAAGTCAACGAGTACTTCCATCCAGCAAAATTCTCAACAGAGATATTGATGAGAACAGCAGCTAAGCCAGTGCCTAAACTCAACCAATCAAGAAGGAAAACATGTGAGAAGACAGGATAAAGACCAAAATTACTTTATTTTCAATATCTAGAATACAAAAACTATAGTAACATCCAAACCCAAAATAGGCAACAATTGCTTACTAAAAAATCATAGCTTTCTTGAGAACCTTCTTTGATTTAATAGCCTAAACAAATGCAATAGCTCCCTGTGATGCTTGAACCTCAAACAGTCGAGATTAATTGGGTGGGGGCACTACCATGATCCCATGGTTCTATCTACTTATGCTTGAACAAATGCAATAGCCATCTTGGAATTCTTTTTCTTACAAGTAGCAAATTAGGTAAAGCATAGAACCATTTTTGAATGACTAATTGTTGTTAAATGCTTCTGTGTTCAATATTCAACGAAAGATTCCACAAATGACGAATGAATCCAAGAAAATGTGGATTCTAGTTCCTTCGCATCTAAAGTTAGTGCTTTATTAGATTTCTTAACAATAATAGGTTATTATTGTAACCCTTACAGCTAAATTAATTAATTATCCACCCATCACTAACAAGGAGTAAGGTAGTGTCATAGTGTGGGACCAAGACTGAATGGAATGGATTGTTTCAAAGAAATAAGGATATGTTTTTTTTTTCAATAAGGCCTGTATAAATATGAATCAAGCTATAGATTTAGATAAATTGTTGTTTTATTTTCGTGCTGAATAAACAGCGATGCAGAGACGGCAACAGCAGGTGGCGCACAAGGAATTAGGCGTTGTTGTGTGATGAAGAGCAAGTGGTCAATGGCACACTTTGTTCTTTTATCAGGTTCGAGTTTTTTATCAAGGGTATGGAGCGTAAAATGGCATGGCTGAGTCAATAAAGCCAAGGGGACGGGGCTGAATCCATAAAGCCAAACCAACTGAGGGCTCAAACATTAAGCCGCAAACTAACACTCTGATATAGAACGAATAAGCCCCCCATAGCATTAAGCCAATTAATCCACAAACAAACAGCCCCTAAAATGTTGTTTGGTCACATATGCAAAGGAATGGAAGGAACTCTAGTCCACCAACTCCATGGTTTTTTCAATTAGAAGAGGATTTTTTCGTACATTCATGAATAGATTGTATTTACAGTATATTCAACTAATTTTCTTCAAGCCAAAGTTATAATCAAACACATCAAATGCCTGACAGTTAAAAATTATATAGAAACCCAACTCAAATTAGAAATCAGGCTCGCGATCTTCGTGAATTAGAAATTGAGCTAAAAATTTGATGAAGATTCTAATCATAATTCCATTCACAGCTGATAAAAAATGTAAGTGAATAAAAATCATTTCAGTCCTAAAGATCATATGTTAACTCTATTCATACGAGACTCTAATCTTAAACATAAAATAAATTCTCATTTACCCTAAATGGTGTTCTTATTTGCCAATGTTACTTTCTTCTTTCTTCTTTGGTTTTGACATGCATTTATCACATCGCATATACTGTTTATTGTTCTTAAAACAAGATTATTTAGGTTTAAATATGAGTTTCAGCTTCAAATTCCTAGCGTCTTTTTTTAGAGGAGGCAGTGAATTTTGTAGCCAAGACTTCATGTGATACCACATTGAGGCTGATGAGGCAAAAGATAGAATATGGCAGGTTAAAGTAGTCTTGCAATAAAAAAAATATCCATTCATTCATTCCAAAATAATAAAAATATACCAAAAAACAAGGATTTTTATTCAATGGATCATCCCAATCCAGCCTCACTTCATTCAGTCATACCAAACACAGCATGGAAAGGGTAGTTTATAGAAGACAGGTTCCAAGAGAAAGTGATAACAGGGATGGAACTGATGCTGGTCATCAAGTGAAGCCCCCAGTAAGAAGTTCCCTTTCCCTCTTTTTTAAGGCATTTAGATGCGTCCACTTAGAAAAAACCAAGCACTAAAAATATTACAGCAGCACCAAAGGCGACAACATCATTTGACTCCACATTTTGAGATTCCCCAGTACAAATCCAGGAACAAAAACGAGGAAAAAAAGAAAAGAAGATTGAATCCAAACTAAAAAAGCATCAAAAAACACAACACAGACTAAAATCCAACAAAGCAGAACTTGCAGTTAGCTTAAAGTTCATCACAAGGAATTGTTGAATCAGGAGTCTCATGGAGCAATAAGCCAGACTCTGTGAATTATGAATGGTTAGTAAGGTATTAGATCCAATGGCTGATAATTATTGATGATCTAGAAAATAATAAAAATACATACATATACATTGTCGGCTCGGTTCACTTTGATTTAGTTCGGTATCAACAACCACATACCAAACTGAACCATTTGGTTCGAAAATTTTGTAAATCAAAGCTGAACAGCAAGGCCTAAAAAACCCAAACATGCAGACCTACTTGTTCAGTTCAATTCCCTAGTTGGGACTTACAGTCCTACATGAAACTGGGCGTTGACTACATACATAAATATTATTATCAAATCACGCAATCAGCCGTATTATTCTAAGACTAGCATTTCTACTTCGAGTGCTAACATGGTTAGTTTGACAGCTGTTATAAATGATCCCAAAGGCCTTAGGACTGTGAAAACCCTGTGAAATTGAAGCATAAGTTTTACAAGATGGTGGCTCCTGTCTTAATCTAAGAACCAATATCTTTACACTGAACCACAAACATAAGATCAATGTAGCCAAATGCAAAGGATAAGGTGAATATATGTTCCTACAGCAAATGACGAGATTAGAAATCTATATACAAGAGAATGTTAGGTTGCAGAAATATAGTAGAAAGTGAGGGACCAAGCGAACACCTAATCAGCACCACAACACTAGAAAAGCTGACGATTTCTTCCGATCACAAGCTAAGATTAAATCAAAAGGAATATTTAGCACACCATGCAACCTAAAAACAAACATGAAGAGGTGAACCTTCCTGGATTTCAGGTATAAAGAATTACTTTTGATTGTCATTTGCAAATACGAGATGTCCAATTAAGTTGAAAACACTACAGTTATGTACTCCTTCTATCCCCAAAAAATACAACACCTTTTATTTTGTGTTGTTCCAACAAATATGCAACGTTTCATTTTCTCAAAGATCTTTTTGCAAGTTTACCTACTTGTCAGTCAGCAGTCATGAAAAGATATTGGTGAGATTAATTGTGGTTTCAAAGTTTCTCAACGTTGTCTCATTAAAGCCATTTTAGGTCTTTGATCGTTAGTCTAAACTATGTGTCAAAGGGAATGCTGCTTATTCTTTCGGGATAGGAGTGTTTTTATTCGATAATTGAAGATATTGATAGTTTACTTTGCTCATGTTTCTTATAATCAAAGTTACAAGTAAGCTTATGCATAAGAGATAGAATTATATAATCTTAGTTAATCCTATTCTTTTAATTTTTGGACCCAGAATCCTAATTCATGGTTTCCTTTCTTAATATAACGTATGATAGCCGTTCGCCAAGTTCCAAGCATTATGATGCATCATGCAACAACCATGTGAATGAAATTTTGGGAGTTTCTCTTTGTTCGGGTGATGCAGTCCACCTTTCAGATAGTGCCCCAAGTCTATCCTAATTGTGATGATAAAGAGATCATAGGTTTGCTTTGGGGCAATATTTCCAGGACCTATTTATTTTACTGTTCTTCAACTAATAGTTCATTCCTAATTCTTCACAAATCTATTCTGCATCGATGCATAGACGCCTTTCGACATAAGATGATCATCTCAATAGTAGACCCTGTGGATGCAAGAAGTGAGAAAAAGAAACTTATGCGAAGAGCAAACATTCGCAGTGTTAAGGATGGGACCAATTCCAAGGCCTTCTTGGCCTGATACACCTCACTTTTAGTTTGAAATGGCTAAGTGGGTGTACATACCGGTAGAATTCTAACTAATTCTAGTTGTAATGAGCATATACATGAGTCTTGTAATAGAAATTGCAATAGTACCTTCACAAGCTCGAACTAATACCTGGGAGTCACTTTTTAACTTTGTTCAGTGGTATAACATAGTATAAGCAATCACATGGCATAGCCATAATTACAAACACAAACTATAGAGCATAAAATCAATTGAACATAGCTAACAATGGAACACGTATATCAAGCAGAAGATCACTCTACCTATGCCAATCAGCAGAGCAAAGAACCATTTAACTCCCACGTAGTACCAAACATAAAGCTTTCCTCTTCGCGCCTGCAGTTACGAGGAGTTGAAAAAACAAGAGAGAGTTGTTAACAGTTTACGGTTACCATATCGATTGAAGTAGATAACAAATTCCAAAAGAAACCTGTTCTTGCCGATAGGCGTAGTTCTCAATGACTTCATAATCAAGACTTTCAACACCACCAAATCCATCGTTTCTCAAAACCCCATCTTCATCAGGCTCGGCGTCACTAACATCTTCCGCGTTGGGCAACCGAGACCAAATTAGCTTGGCGGTCTCCACACCGTTCTGAAGATGGTTCGATAGCATATTATTGTGGGGAGATCAATCTACAGCTCTGATCTGGTAGAATTGGAGAATTTGGGTGTGAAGAGTTTGGAAGTTTTGGTGGGTTTTTGAGAAGAAGAAAGAGGAATGGGGGCTGAATGATCCTCTCTCTTTCTAGCTCTTCTTTTGTTGATCTACAATGGTGCCGAATGATTCATGTAGTCTTTACAGTCGCTGTTGATGAAACGTGGTTTTCAAGAGGAATTCCCACCCAACAGAAAAGGGCTTTGTGACGACTTACAGCACAGGGTATTTATTACTCCTTTCAATTGCAAAACGGTTCACGTAACGTTGAGTATGGTCCCTCTGGTTTGGTGGAAATTGTGATTGGGTTTCTTATACTTCATTTGTTTTATTTTATTTTATTGGTTACAGATTTCATGTTAGATACAGTTTAAAGAAAATCCTGCTAAGTAAGGCCATTTTGGTGTTCTTTTGATTTTATTCCTATTTCCTTAAAAAAATAACAATTTATATATTAAAATATAAGGGTAGATACAAATGAGAAGCTAAACATTTTATGAGAAAATGAGAAATTTCTATATCATATATCATTACACACATGTTGCATTCATAACACACAAATGTTTAATCATATATGATTAAACACATCCAAAGAAATGTAATCATGTATGATATTGAATGAATTTTAGTCGGTTTATGTATGTTGGTCTCAGACGGATTTACAAGAGTTTAAATGTAACAGTTTGTAGAAGGAGGGATGAATACAAACACACAATTTTTTTCATTTTTTAAAATCCTTTATTGATAAAGAAGATCAATACATAATTTACAGACTATTTGCGGAATAAGATAAGATACATAATTTATCTAAAAAAATTTAGGGAACACACGAGATACAAAAAGCAAGATGTTGATCCTCTCTCATTGATTTGATGATAGTCCCTTTAACTATCGAAGTATTATGTTTATGTCTATTCAGTTCCAACGATCGTCACTGAGTCTGTTTAGTGATCGCTAAAACATGTATTGTAACTCTACATTGACAATTATATTTCAAGAAGACTAAACTTATACCAAAGAACTTTCAGCAAAAGTCGAAGAATGAAACTGAAGATTAGTGACTAGCGTGTTTGTGATCTGAAGCGGTATTCACTGATTACAACCTACTCAACATATGTGTGAAGACTGCATAAGCCTCTGTGAATGCTGAAGAGACCTCCAGCGTCATTCCAGCATTCAGCGATCAAATGAAACTTGTCATGCACGATTGTTTTTGTCTTGTCATTCCATACACAAAGGACAAACACATACCCTCTCAAGAGTATAGTACTGCATGGAGCCAATTAATCAACTCTAGTGCTCACCAACTCTATGAAAGGATATCTGCTCATAAATAGAAAAAAATACTATTCACTGTAGCAAAGGACAAGCTTTCCTTTAAAATGAATTGCATTTAATGCAATTGATATAAATAGTTGAGTGCTTTCTCTACTCACCAAGCATATACACATACAAGGAAGACACACAAGCAGATTAGAATTCTCTCTCTATAATTCTAAGAAACTCTCCCATGAACACTCTTCTAGTCTTATTTCTTATCGGCAAATCTTCTTATATTTGCTAACTGTATCTGTCTGTATCTCTAGATTGTTTCAGATAGGTATTTCTTTACCTTGTCTATTCCGCAAACAATCTGTAATGATCCTTCTATATCAATATATATTTTTAAAAGTGAAAGTTATCGTGTTTGTATTCACCCCCCCTTCTACAAACTGATCACCTCTAAACTCTTGTAGATCCGGCTAGGACCAACACACGAAATGAAAGGCTTGCTAAAAAGAAGAACCGATAACTTCTCTAAAGGAAGAGTTTAGTTGATGTTCTTCACTTGAAGTAAATATACTTTCGCAAGGTTAACAAGTTTGTGCTTGTCAAGGTGTCTCTTCTTGGGTAGATTTTTTTTATCTTAGAGCAACTAAGAAGGAGGGACTTCTCAACTATTTATACTCATTGCATTAAATGCAAGTCAGACAGTACAAGGCACGTGGCAAGCTTCTAGAGGTGAGTTTGTCCTTTGTTTTCAGATATACATGATTTTGTTGTATATAAACAGTGGTCTTTCACAAAGTAGGTAAACACGTTTGGAGACAATAAGGTGACTCTGCACGAGTGCTTTACTTTGGGAGGTATGAGTTTGTTCTTTGTGTGTACAAGGATAAGACAAAAACTAAACTTCATCAACAAGATTCATTTTGATTGTTGACATTGGAATAACCCTAAGGTTTCTTTAGTGTATGCTGAATTTTGAGTAGACTTCACACATTTGTAGACAGACTTGTTATCACTGAAACCACATCAGATCACGAACTGCTTGTCTTTGTCTTCAGCTTTATCTTCGATATCACTTAAGGTTCTTTTGGTGCGAGTTTTGCCTTCTCCAAAAATACTTATCTCTTGAGAGATACAATACTTGTTCAGCGATCACTGAACAGACTCAGGGATGATCGATGAAACTTAATAAAGAGAAAAAAAATTCGTTAGATAAAATGATCATCATCAAATTACTGAGATAGAGGATCAACAATGTATCAATTATATATACTTGCATGGAGTAGTAGATATGCATAGATGAATATATTCATTGATAAAAGTACATATCTTTACCGAGAATTATTAATAGAATTCTCTCCATGCACCTTTTTGGTGGTTGTGGGTTTATATTTATATGTACATAATGGATAACAATAAATGTAATAAATAATCCTATCTAAACAAGAATAACAAATCATAACAAAATTTAACTTCATCTATCATTATCCTTACTATCCCCCCCAAGCGAGACGTAGGGGCTGTTTACCAAATTTTCTATTAAGTCCTGTATGGATAAATTTGTCTGTCTGGATAAATTTGGCTGTCTGGATAAATTTRGGTTGTTGTTTACTTTTCTATCTGAATCAACAGTCTGAATAACAGAAATGGCCAATTTACCCCTGAGTATTAACTATGGGCATGGTTTAAGTTGACGTTGATGTTATCTGGGTCAAATTATAACTTAGGTTGTGCAGCCTTACATACAATATTCGAGCTGTGGCCTCAAAATGTAATGAGTTGGACTCCTGCAACTATCAGGGATGAGGATTTTGGGTTTAGGTTCAAACTTGACAAGGATGTAAGAAATTTGAATGTGAGAATTTCTAGCCACATTCCAGATTATTTGTGATTGTTAGAATCCCTTAATAGGGGGCTACTAATAACTTCTCATGAGAAAACTAATACAGAGCTCGTTGACCCTCCAATGTGTAACAAGCAGCAACCAAGTTATCAAGCAAAATCAACAGATAAAATCGAGTAAAATCAAAAGCAATATCGAGTAAAATCAGAAGCAATATCGAGTAAAATCAGAAGCAATATCGAGCAGCAACGAGCAGCAAAATCAACAGATAAAATCGAGTATATTCAGATGCGAATCGAGCATCAACGAGCAGCAAAATCAACAAATAAAATCGAGTATATTCAGATGCGAATCGAGCATCAACGAGCAGCAAAATCAACAAATAAAATCAAGTATATTCAGATGCGAATCAAGCATCAACGAGCAGCAAAATCAACAGATAAAATCAATTATATTCAGATGCGAATCGAGCATCAACGAGCAGCAAAATCGAGTATAATCTATAGATAAGGAGAAGAGTTACCTTTGGAGAAGAGAAGATTGGATAACGAGCAGCACAATCTGTCGATTAGGGTTCTGTTGAAGGAGCGACTACTGGAGGAGAAAAGAGAGGCGTGGTTTTGTTGAAGGGTAGGCAGGTCATTTTCTTGGCTTAATGTGGACAAGTCATGGTACCCTGCTGTGCGAATAAGCCCATGTCTGGGCGAATAAGCCCGAAGTAAACAGCCTAAAATGGCTGTGAGAATAAGCCCATTTATCTGATAAGCTCATTAAGCCACAAGTAAACAGGCCCGTAGTGTCTCGTCCAACGCAGAGCTTGGAGCAAAAAAGAAGAAAGAGTGGCCGAGATCGACTTTTGGTAAATATGTCAGCTGATTGGTCATTTCGTTCTAGTTTATTTTTTTTTTGTCAATCATTCCTCATTAATGCGTTAAAATGGTAAACCCAAACTACATTAATGTGTTTTTGTATTTCGATAGGTTCGAAAAAGTTTGGAGTGAGAAAGGGATAAAAGGAGAATTTTTTATAGCTTTCTGAGGCTATGTTACTTCGAGCATATCTCACTCGTCTGAGATCGGATTTAAGGGATCATCTAGAAAGCTAACAAACGGCCTTACAACTTTGAAGTTTTGAGTTTCTGAAAATTTGGAGGAATCTAGGTCGAAACTGATGTTGAAGGTGAAATAGTGGTGCTGGACAACAAGAAGTAATTTTAGAAAAAAAATCAAGTACAAGTTATACAACATGAGGTACAACGTAGCGAAGGAGAATGGATTTGGTTTATGAAGCCCATGTGAATAAAGAAAAAAGGTGTGGGCCTTAGGGCCTCTTCTCCATCTTAATGTGTGTGTGTGTGTATATATATATATATATTGGAGTCTATGGTGGGGGGGATGCATTAATACAGCCGCCATGAAGTAGGGACGCAATATAGGGAGGAGAAGAGCACCCATGAGGGATTGAGGGCTGTTGGCGTTGGATCACAACACACACGTACAAACACAAGCATAAAAAGAGATAAGCTTTTCTGAGTTTTAAGGAATTTTACACACCAGTAACGAGAGTGTTGTGGAGGACTTTTTCTACAACCACAAATAATAGGAACCAACGGGATTTAACAAGTTCAATTTCGTGGTTGAATTTCGTTTTTATTGATTTGAAGGGCAGATACATGTTATTATTGAGAGTACTTTGAATATCGTGGTTGTTGGGTATTGATTTGATCTTTCAATAGTGATTTTAGGTTTATGTTCTTACATTCAACTGTTATGACAATGCTTAAATATCTAGAAATCGTTGAATTTTCCAACTCGATAATGAGCTAAATTTGTTTCAAAGTTGACCAGATGTGAAGACTCATGTGTAATCCAATCCTGATTTGTTTTTGTTAGTTATATTTTGGTTTTAATTTGCATAAAGAGTATGAATATGTCATTTGGGACAAAACATGACAGGTTTTGTTGGGTTTTAAATATTTAGTTATTGATCTATTTGTATGTGTTTAAATTGAATGTGTTATTACGATTGATTGACCTAACTTGGATAGTTCATTGGTATCCCCTGATTGTGCCAAACACAATAGTGCAGGTGAGAGGACAGTAGTTTGGATAGGCATGGATTATGTCGGG